CAGAAAGAAAATTGTATCCTCTGCTACATAAGAAATAGTATGGCCAGCAGCTTGATGGGGGTGGTTCACTGCCTCTAAACTCTTTCTGTGAGACCCCAGCTAGAGCAATGCATGCTTTCAATGACCTTGAAAGAACCCTTCCAACCAAAACCACTGTGTGAATTTATGAAGGACTCAGTTGGCTTTACTCTTTTCCATTGTCAGCCCCTCAATTATAGAGATGAAAAGAAGGATGTTTCAAGAATCACAAACGAAAGAGTAACTGTTACTGTGCTCCCTTAGCATAGAGATTGCTTCAATTGCTTTAGGTTGATTCTTTTCCCAGGTTAATTCATCCCAGGTAATGAATTCAGCAGAATTCAAGCGATTTCACACAATGCACAAATGCTCTTGAAGTCTTCCCTCTAACGTCGTTTAGTGCTCCTATATTTGTGCCCTTGTTTTATTAAGAGTAACTGAGTTCCTTTCTTTATCTCTCTGCTATGAATATTTGCTTCTGATTATTCATTGCGATAACGACCTAAAAGCTCCCGACAGAGAATCTGCCGTTCCAAAGGCACATTAAGCAGGTCCTGCTTTGATTGCTGATTCTCACTATTATCTGTGATAATGACCTAAACCCACCCGACAGCGCATCTCAATTCCAAAGAACTTAGGAAGAAGCATATTAAGCAGGTCCTGCTTTGATTGCTGATTGGAATCGAGGAGAGACCCCATAGCCAGTGAAGCCCCCAACGCAACCCAAATGCGGCTGCAGTGCTGCGGCGGCGCCTCCGGGTGTCGCTGTTGGCCGCCGCCGAGCGGCGCTGGAGCCGCAGCCGCCGCCGCCGCAGCGTCCTGCCCCCGCAGGCTGCTCGCTCGCCCGGCCAGTGGCGGCCAGAGCGGCAGCGGCACGGGCAGCAGAGGCGAGAGGCGGCCAGAGCGGGCAGCGGCGGCGGCCGAGGCGGCGGCGGCGGCCCCTGCGCTCGCTGCTTCGAGCGGCTGCGAGGGAGGCAGGGCAGCGGCAGGAGCCGTCCGAGCGCCGAGAGCCGGCGCTGCCGACAATGGCGGGCGGGCGGAGGCAGAGCGGCGGGCCGGCCGGCGGGCGAGCGCTGCTGCTGCCCGCTGTGCTGCTGTGCCTGTGCTGCCGGGCGGCGCCGGAGCGGCTCCGCTACGCCATCCCCGAGGAGCTGCCCACGGGCTCGCTCGTGGGGCCGCTGGCACGGGACCTGGGGCTCAGCCCGGACGAGCTGCCGGCGCGCAAGCTGCGGCTCAGCGAGGAGAAGCAATACTTTACCGTGAGCGAGGAGAACGGGAACCTGTACGTGAGGGAGAGGCTGGACCGGGAGGAGCTGTGCGGCAGATCGGCATCCTGCTCCGTCAGCTTCGAGGCGCTGGTGCACAAGCCGCTCAATGTTTTCCTTGTCGAGGTGGCTATTGAGGACGTGAATGACAACTCTCCTACCTTCAGGAAAGCTGCTCTGGAACTAGAGATCGATGAATCGATTCCTCCCGGCACCCGTTTTCTCCTGGAGATGGCCCGAGATGCAGACGTGGGCAGCAACTCTCTGCTGACTTACGAGCTCGCCAGCAATCCGTCCTTCTCTCTGGCCATGAAGGAAAGTCAGGATGGAAGCAAGCAGCCGCAATTAGTGCTAGAGAAAGCCCTGGACCGGGAGAAGCAGAGCTCCTTTGAGCTGGTACTGACAGCGGTTGATGGTGGAGACCCCGCGAGGTCCGGGACTGTTCAGGTTCGGGTCAACGTTACGGACGCCAATGACAACCCGCCCGTGTTTGCACAGGACCGTTACAAGACAAGCCTGCGCGAGGACACGCTGCCGGGTTCGGAGGTATTGAAAGTGTCAGCCTCAGATGCCGACGCCGGCACCAACGCCCACATCACCTACAGTTTAGGGGAAATGCAGGATAAGGTGCTTCGGACATTCGTGGTGGATGCAGATAGTGGGTTGATAACGCTGCGGGAGGCTCTGGATTTCGAGGACATGCGGACATTCAGCCTGGATCTGGAGGCAAAGGATGGTGGCGGTCTGGTGGCTCATTGCAAGGTCGAGGTAGAGGTGCTGGACGTGAATGACAACGCGCCCGAGATCGAGATCCTGTCACTGTCGAGCCCCGTGCCCGAGGACGCGCCAGCCGGCACCGTGGTGGCCCTGCTGAAAGTCCGTGACCGGGACTCGGGCGAGAACGGTGAGGTGTCGTGCGAGCTGTCGGGAGAGGCGCCGCTGTCGATCGTGGCGTTGTCGGGCGGCTCGTACAAGGTGGTGACGGCGAGCGCGCTGGACCGCGAGCAGGCGTCCGAGCAGCGCGTGACGGTGGTGGCCCGGGACCGGGGCAGGCCGGCGCTATCGAGCACGGCGGAGCTGGTGCTGGAGGTGTCGGACGTGAACGACAACGCGCCGGTGTTCGAGGAGGCGGCGTACAGCGCCTACGTGCGGGAGAACAACGTGGCGGGCGCGCTGGTGCTGCGCGTGAGCGCGCGGGACGCGGACGCGGGCGCCAACGGGCGCGTGAGCTACTGGCTGGCGGGCGGCAGCGCGGGCGCGGCGGGCGCGGCGCCGCTCGTGTCGGTGGAGGCGCGGAGCGGCGCGGTGTACGCGCAGCGCTCCTGGACTACGAGCAGTGCCGCGAGTTCGCGGTGGCCGTGCGGGCGCAGGACGGCGGGGCGCCGGCGCGCAGCTCCACGGCCACGGTGCGCGTCTTCGTGCTCGACCAAAACGACAACGCGCCGCGGGTGCTCTACCCGCCGCCGGCGGCGGGAGGGGCTTCTTCGGTGGCGGCGGCTTTCGAGGTGGTGCCGCGGTCGGCCGAGGCCGGCTACCTGGTGGGCAAGGTGGTGGCGGTGGACGCGGACGCGGGGCGCAACGCGTGGCTGTCGTACGAGCTGGTGCAGGCGTCGGAGCCGGCGCTGTTCCGCGTGGGGCTGCAGAGCGGCGAGGTGCGCACGGCGCGGGCCGTGTCGGAGCGGGACGCGGCCAAGCAGCGGCTGGTGGCCGTGGTGAAGGACCACGGGCAGCCGGCGCTGTCGGCCACGGCCACGCTGCACGTGGTGCTGGCCGACAGCTTGCAGGAGGCGCTGCCGGAGCTGAGCGAGCGGCCGGCGGGCGCCGACGCGCCGGCCGAGCTGCAGTTCTACCTGGTGCTGGCGCTGGCGCTGCTGTCGGCGCTCTTCGTGCTCAGCGTGGCGCTGGCCGTGCTGGCGCGGCTGCGCCGGGCCGGGCCGCCCGCCGTGCTGCGCTGCCTGGGCGCGCAGCGCTTCTCGCTGGCCGGCGCCGCCTTCCCGCCCGACTTCTGCGAGGGCACCTTGCCCTACTCCTACAACCTGTGCGTGGCCGCGCCGGCCCGCGCCGCCGCCGAGACCGCTTGGCCGCCGCCGCCGCTGCCCATCCTGCCCGCCGAGGAGCTTCTGGCCGGGGAGCCCTGCGGGAAGCCGAGCCCGAGCAGCAGCGCCGTCGCGGGAGAGCCGCCCGCCGACCCTGATGCACCGCAGGTCTGTAAAGTCTCTCCCTCTTTCTCTGTCAACTTTTCCTAACGACGTGCTTCTGGCAGTGGGCTCTCTGGCTTTCTTTTATTTCTGGTTCAATTATTGCTGGTGGCTGTTTCCATAGGCGCGGGTAATAACTGCCCTGTTTTAGACAGCAGTCGGTTCGAACCCGCACTTCGTACCTCATGAACTGCCCCACATGTCGGCTCAGTTGGGAATTCTTGTCGCTGAACGTATGCAATAATGAGATTTTTCTGTCCTGATCCTTTCTTACCGTGTAGAGGCACTGCGACCTGTTTGTTATTTCGGAGTTTAAGGAAACTTGCTAGATGAAGGGGAAGTTGTTTCTCCCTAAGGAATATGTCTACCTTCCACCCTGTGCCGTCCCAGTTACAAGCTATATATATTAGATATATATGAGATCAGTTTATTTTATCAGAGCTTTATTTCTTTGGTTTTTTCTGCAATTATTTCTCTTTCAGAGTTTGTTGGTTCCTTCTTATTTAGTTTTCCTTAGCTGGCTTTTCTACAAAAAGACTGAGTGTGATCTAAGAAACAAATTCGCATGTTTTGTTTCTACTTCGTTCGTTGCTTGCTTGCTTTTTTCTGACCCATGTTTCATTTTCAGCTTTTTTGTCACCAAGTTTATACTTTCCTTGCTTGATAGCATTTCTCTCTAAGGCTGTGTTTAAAAATGGAGCACTAAGCCCTATGCAAAAGCAAGGCATTATGTTTGGGATGTAATGAAAAATTTCTAAGTACTGGTTGGAGGAGAGCAATGTAGGGTGATTCAGAGCAGCCTTGCATGTGCAAGTAAAAAGTAAAAAGCAGAGAGGGAAGGGCAGTACCTAGAATGTCTGCTTTTTGGCAGGAATCTTCAATGGTATGTGCAATAGGTCAGGCTTGGGAATCTACCATGGCTGGAGGTGTTTCAGTGTTGACGCTCGAGTGTTGACACAAAAAGCTCTGCGGCTGCAGGGAAGATGCTGTCCTTTTCTGCCATAAATGAGTAGGTTTAGAATACTCTGCACGCCGTATTATGAGAAATTTGTATGTAGAGATTATCGCAATCACATGAATATTTTCCCGTGCGGTAGAAAGAACATAACGCCAGGTCTCCGCTGTGCTGGACACGACATTTTCGTGGCGAGTGTCCCGTCTTTTTGAGTTTCCCGAGGGCGATGCAGGGCGGGCATCTCTCGGCAGCGCTCGATGCCTGCAGAGCCAGGAGAAAGCTGCGGGCGCCGCTGTTGACCGAGAGGAGCGAGAGGAAGGTCGGAGCGCCGCAGCCCCGCCCGCTGCGGACCGGCTCGATCGCTGGATCGCTGGATTCCTAGGTCTGAAAGAGGTCTGCTTCCGAACATCCCTGCGGTGCGGAGTCGGGATATAGCGAGGCGGAGGGGCCGGAGGCAGCGGCCGGGAGCGACAAGTCGTAGCCGAATCGGTGTGTGAGCCGAATAGCCGGCCGGCAGCGGGGATCTGACTGCGGTGTTGCGGTGCCGGCGGTGCGGCGGCGGAGATGTGCTCGGTGGGGAGGCGCTGGGGCCGGCGGCAGCGAGTCCTGCTCTGGGGCATCTTGCTGGTGGCCTGGGAGGCGGCGTGGGGGCAGCTGCGCTACTCGGTGCCCGAGGAGATGCCCAAGGGCTCGTTCGTGGGCGACGTGGCCAAAGACCTGGGGATGCAGCTGCCGGCGCTCCCAGACCGCGGTGTCCGAGTTGTCACTGAAGGTAGGACGCAGTATTTTGCTCTGCACGAAAAGACGGGACATTTAGTGACGGCCGAGAGGATCGACAGAGAGCAGTTGTGCCGGCTGGTGGAGAAATGCTTGCTGCGCTGTGAGCTGATAGTGGAGGGGGAAATGAAGTTTTATGAAATCGAAGTAGAAATCATGGATATTAACGACAACGCACCCAGCTTCAAAGAAATCGAACTGGAAGAGAGGATAAGCGAGACAACAGCCCCGGGATTGCGGTTTCCTCTCCCAGATGCTCACGATCCAGACTCGGGACAGAATTCCCTGCAGAGCTACGAGCTGAGCGGCGACGAGCACTTCTCGCTGGCCGTGCAGACGGGCCCCGGCGGGGATCAGCGTCCCGAGCTGGTGCTGGCGAAGGCGCTGGACCGGGAGGAGGCGGCGTTCCACGAGCTGGTGCTGAGGGCGAGCGACGGCGGCGATCCGGCCCGGACGGGCACGGCGCGGATCCGCGTGACGGTGCTGGACGCGAACGACAACGCGCCCGTGTTCAGCCAGGCGGAGTACACGGTGCGTGTGCCGGAGGACGTGCCCGTGGGCTCCGTCCTCGTCACCGTCACGGCCACCGACGCTGATGAGGGCTTGAATGGGGACGTGAAATATTCGATGAAGAAAGCCACGAACATGGCATCGGATATTTTCCATCTGGAGTCTGAGACGGGAGCGATCACGCTCGTGCAGATCCTGGACTTTGAGGAAGGTGACTACTACGAACTGAAGGTTCAGGCCCGCGATGGCGGTGGCCTTTTTGATACGACAAAAGTCGCGATCACTGTGACAGACATAAACGATAATGTGCCCGAGATCTCGGTGAGGTCTGTGCTGACTGAGATTTCGGAGGACTCCCCGACGGGGACTGTTGTGGCCCTGCTGCACGTGCACGACCGAGACTCTGGGGCTAACGGCGAGGTGCGCTGCTCGCTCGATGGGAGCCTCCCTTTCCGGCTGGAGAGCTCGCAGGGCAGCCACTACCGCGTGGTGACAGCGAGAGAGCTGGACCGCGAGCAGCAGTCGGAGTACAACGTGACGGTGCGGGCGGCCGACGGCGGGTGGCCGGCGCTGCAGAGCAGCACGGTGCTGGCGCTGCGGGTGCTGGACGTGAACGACAACGCGCCGGTGTTCGCGCAGGAGCGCTACAGCGCGCGGCTGCGGGAGAACAACGCGGCGGGCGCGCTGGTGCTGGTGGTGCGGGCGACGGACGCCGACTGGGGTGGGAACGCGCGCGTGCGGTACCGGCTGGCGGAGGGGCGGGTGCGGGGCGCGCCGCTGTCGTCGTACGTGTCGGTGCAGGCGGAGACGGGCGCGCTGTACGCGCTGCGCTCGTTCGACTACGAGCAGGTGCGCGAGGTGGGGCTGTGGGTGCGGGCGGAGGACGGCGGCTCGCCGGCGCTGAGCAGCAACGTGCTCGGTGCGGCTGCTGATCGTGGACGAGAACGACAACGCGCCGCAGGTGCTGTACTCCGCCGGCGGCGGGGCCGGGCGCAGGCTTGGGGGCGGGGGCGGGCTCGGGCTGGGCGGGCGTGGAGCTGGCGCCGCGCTCGGGCGAGCCCGGCGCGCTGGTGGCCAAGGTGGTGGCGGTGGACGCGGACGCGGGGCAGAACGCGTGGCTGTCGTACGAGCTGGCCAAGGCCACGGAGCCGGGGCTGTTCCGCGTGGGGCTGCACAGCGGCGAGGTGCGCACGGCGCGCTCGCCGCTGGCCCGCGACGCGGCGCGCCACAGCCTGCTGGTGCTGGTCAAGGACCACGGCCGGCCGGCGCTGTCGGCCACGGCCACGCTCAGCCTGGTGCTGGCCGACAGCGTGGCCGAGCTGCTGGCCGAGCTGGGCAGCGCGGCGCACGCAGAGGCGGCGCCGGCCGAGCCGGCCGCCAGCCTGACGCGCTGGCTCGTGCTGGCCGTGGCCGCCGTCTCCTGCCTCTTCCTCGCCTTCCTGCTGCTGCTGCTGGCGCTGCGCCTGAGGCGCTGGCGCCGCTCGCGCAGCAGCAGCAGCAGCAGCTGCTGGCCACGGCCGGCGCCGCCTTGCGCGGCGTGCCTGCCACGCACTTCGTGGGCATCGACGGCGTCCGCGCCTTCCTGCACTCCTACTCGCACGACGTGTCTCTCACGGCCGACTCGCGCAAGAGCCACCTGCGCTTCTCGGCCGCCAGCTGCTGCGACACCCTGCCGGCCCGCCCGCCGCCCGACGAGCCCGCGCCGCTGCTCGGCGACGAGGAACCTACGGGCGACCGTCCCACCGACCCCGCCCCTCCGCCGGTGAGTTCCTCTGGCCAGTTTGTCTCTATGAAGAGACCGTGTAGTGAAGTTTGCTGACAGCGCTGGCAGAGGTTCGTACATTGGCACTCTGTGGGCTATTGACAGGTGGACGTAGGGTTCTTGCTCAGTCTCCCAGGTTGTTGGGCAGGCAGGTGTAGTGAGCGCTGATGGTGGCTGGAAGTTCGAGTGAGGCTTTGTGGTTTCATCACGCTCCCAGTTGTTTCTGTGCCCTGACATATGTAACACTCGTGTTCCTTTCAGTATTAGCTCTTCTATCCAGATGTGTTTCCTTATTAGCAAATTGTAGTTTGTGTTCTTTACAGGCTCAGGAGTCTTCCCAAAGGCAGATGCACTTGATTTGGGTGAGGTTCTCTAGATAGTAATTTTGACAGCTCCCTGAGTGACTTTGCTGCTCATCATTTGCACTCTTCTCAACCTTTAGGTGTCTCTGTTATATCTAGTGGTATCAGTACGAAACGTCTTTGCATTCATCCTCTTTGTGTTCTGTGTAGGGGAATGGGCCAGGCAAAAACTAGTCTGCTGATGATGTCTGTGTACCTGTTATGAATATGGAGGATCACGTTGAAAAAGTTGTGGGTGGCTGCACGTGGAGAAGGAAATGCAGGAGGGAATGGCAGGGGTGTTTTGCTGATTTTTTGTCTTTTGAGGTTGAGCCATGTTGAATGGGGCTAGATGTGCCTTGGCTATAAAATACATATCATGGCAAGAACTTGTATGAGTGCAAGGGGGGAGATTCAAGGTGCAGAGGGAGATGTGAGAGGGTGATTGCCCCTATACAGACACTCATTGACCCACTGAGAACATCTGCATACATCCACTGGAGCACTGCTCCTCTTTTCCTTTTAGAAACCTTTGAGGTTTCTTCACAGAAGATCAGTGAGCAGACAAATGTATCTCCGTGCAGAAATGTAAAGATATCTGTGTGAAGTCAGTGGATTGAAAAGAAATGGTCTGGGAAACTGGGCCTTATGTGCCATGTCCTTGTAACTTAGATGGGTCAAAGAGCATCCTGGATAATGTGATGGGTCAGGGATTTGAGTCCTGGGAGCTGTGCTGAAGGATCTGTTGAAGGACACAAGAGAGTACTTTTCTTGTTTTCTGGTTTATTATGCACCCGTTGTACCTTGCATTGTGAGGTTTTCCTTCCCAAACTGTTTGCAGGAAGACATGTATTCCAGTTGTATGGAGAGCCCTGTGACGTTCTTTGTTTGTGTTTGCATGTTGTCATAATTACATAACTGCACAGCTTAATTATGTGCGTATGACAAAGGTCATGTGGGAGCTTTGGGAAAAGCAAGCTGCGTGTTCACTTCCTAGTAAACAACTGAAATAATTTCTTACTCTTATTACATAATCTAAAAGAGTGTTCTGAACTCTTAATTTCTGCAATAGTTAACTATCTACCTTTCTCCTTTGGTGATCTCAAGATGGGCCTTAGTCACTCTCTTAAAGGGTGCGTAAAATCAGATCTGTTACATTTGCCTGCATGTTACATTTGTTGCCTTTCCTATTTACATCTGGAAAGAGAAAGCCTTTCGTAGACATGTTTCTTTCAAATGTCATTGTAAGAAATTCTCTTGCTTGTCACATGCAAAGGGTGAGAAGGCAAAGATTATCCATAGTAAGGAAACATTGTCTGAGCAACGTTTCTTTTTGAGGGGTCTTTCTGTCAATTTTGAAGATCTTTGATAGCCATGTGAAGAGCTGTGAAGAGTCTGAGGAGAGTGTTGTGTGTGAGGAGGTGCTGATGGAGACATGACATGTGTTTTGCTGATTTCCAGGTTTGGACCTTTTCCATCTGAAAAGAGGTCAGAAGGAATCCTATTTTTTGACATTGCACGGTTTGGACTCAAATGGCCAAGTTTTGGGTTTAACACATCCTACATTATGAGTGGTAGAGCTTTCATAGAGCCCTTGTGTGTGGTTTCCTTTGAGCTGATATTTGATGACTGTTTTTTTCATTGAGCTGCTGACTGCTTTTGACCAGTATAACATTTTAGAGTTATAAAAATTATTGGAATGAGCAGGATTATATTTTTTGGGATGCTTGGGATCTAAGTGAGTCTGTGGTTCATACACTTCTGATGGTTTCTCACTCTTGCTGTGCTTTTTTTGGTTTGTTTTTTGCTTCATGTCAAGAAATAAAGCTGGGCCTCCTTGTGCCTGGCAATCCTGTGAATAAACCAAAACTATTAAAGCTTCTGAGGAGCAGGTCAGATATTTCAGTACTCCTGTGGAAATAGGAGTTATTTAATGTGGCTCAGGGATTATCTAATTGCTCTCTACAACTACTTCAAAGGAGGTGATAAGTGAGGTGGAAGTTGGTCTCTTCTGCCATGTCTTAAGGGAAAGAAGGACAGAAAATTATCTTAAGTTGTACCACAGGAGATCCAGGTGGGATATTTGATTTTGTTTGTTTCTCTGAAAGAGTGATCAGACATTGGAATAACTTGACCAGGGAGGTGGTGGAGTCACCACCTCTGGAAGTGTTTGAGAAGCCTCTGGATGTGGCACTTGGGTTTAGGATTGATTATGGTAGTGCTGGGCTGAGGGTTGGACCAGATGATCTTGAAGGTCTCTTTCAACTTTTGATTCTGTGCTTCAGTGTGAAACACCAAAAGACATCTTATAAAGGCCAGGGTGGGAGAGAAGTTCTTCTCCATACACTGAAGGTAGACATCACCTAAGATAAACACTTTGATAAAATATTTTTCCCTAAAATGGGGCTGAATGAAAGGCTCTTTTCCCTGGAGCTGCCATGTAGACAGAAGTTGGGTATTGTCCACGGAGCAACCAAAGGCTATGAATGTAGAGACAGGAGGTGGAGAGGCTGGATTTGAATGAGGAAAATGGGTGGGTCAGTGTGGGTTTGACTGGGCAACGGTTTGATTTCATGCCTGGTGTCGAGGTCTCTGGCATGTTTTATATGATCCATTTGTATCTCTGTGGGACAGAGTGATGTAGAGTTTCTTCACAATTGCCATCAGACTTTCTTTCAAGACTTTGTTCAAGACTCCTGTAAGGTCGTGGTCTTTTAATGCACTTCTAGTCAGTGCTTCTGCCTTTGATCCAGTCACTGTGGTTTGGCAGCAAATAGTTCCTTCAGCCACCTAGGGCAGAATTTTGTGTGTGAGGAACATGAAGAAAAAGGGAATTTGCTGTAATTTCTCAGAAGGTAAAGCTTGACAGAGGGGCCCATGATGAAGTGCTTGATACTTGTGAGAGGTGAGCAGGCCACTTCTGAGAATTGCTGAAAGCTGATGACTCTTACTAAAAATGAATCCTGTAACTAGGTAGTCCGGTGTAAGACTTCAGGTCTGCACTTGCAACTTGAGACCTCAGTGACTTCCAAGTGCTTGCAGAGTTGAATTCCAGTGAAGACCATGATGACTTCCCACTGAGGTTCTCTGATCACTCCTTGTCTCCTGATGCTTCCCTGCCTTGCTTCTCTGCTTTACATTTTTGGGGTTTGTTTCTTAGTTTCACATGTCTGTGGGTTTCTTTGTGATTATCAACATTGCTTCATTCAGCAATGCATCGTGTGTTAGTGCCTCTTGTTCGTGGTACAGCAGGTGTGAAAGGCAGGAGTTGTGAAGGTGTCCCTGAGTTCTATTGGATGTCAGGACGAATTGATGTAAACATGAGAAGGCAGAGATGCCAACTGGAGAGACCTTGATAGGCTGGAGGAGTGGGCCTGTGGAAACATCATGAAGTTCAACAAGGCCAAGGGAAAGGTCCTACACCTGGGTCATGGTAATCTCCAGTTTAAATAGAGTAGGAGATTGGAACAGCCTTGCAGAAAACTACATGGGGTTATTGGTGGGTAATAAAATGGGACATAGTCAAGCAAAATACACTTGCTGCTCAGGAATCGAATTGTATTCTCTGCTACCTAACAAGTATTATGGCCAGCAGGCCATAAACTGTGAAGCCTTTTTGTGAGACCCCAGGGACTGCATGCAGATCTGGGGCCGATATTCCAAAAACACATGGACTTGCTAGAGTCCCCAGAACGACCACAGAAATGGTCTGAGGCTGGACCATCTCTTCAACGAAGAAGAGCTGAAGGAGTTTGTGTCCTTAAACATGGAGAAAGAAACCTCTGTGTAAAATAGTTTTGCCTTTGCAATTTATAAAGTGTGCTACAAGTGGAAAGATGGACAGAACCTTTTAATCAGGGCCTGTAGTGACAGGACAAGTACAAGGGTTTTCATTTTCCAGAGAACTTATGGGTATTCCTCTAGGTAAAGAGAATGTTGGATAAAGTTTTGAGTGATTTAGTCTTGTGGAAAGTATTCTTGCGCATGGCAGAGCTGGGGATTGAATGACCTTGAAAGAACCCTTCCAACTGAAATCATTGTTTGAATGTATGAAGTGTGGCTTTGCACTTTCCTGTTGTCAGTCCCTCAAGTATGGAGATGAAATAAAGGACGTTTCAAGAATCATACACAAAAAAAGAGTAACTGTTATTGTGCTACCTTAGCACAGAGATCATTTCAATTGCTTTAGGCTAATCCATTTCTCAGATTAATTCATCCCAGGTAATGAATTCAGCAGTACTCAAGAGATCTAACACAGTGCAAAAATGCTCTTGAAGTCTTCCCTCTACTATCGTTTATTGCTCCTATTAATTGCTCCTGGTTTTATTAAGAGCAGCTGAGTTCCTTCCTTTATCTCTCTTATAAGAATATTTAGGAATATTTGCATCTGATTCTTCATTGTGATAACGACCTAAAACCAACCGACAGCGCATTCCCAGTTATAAAGGCCTTAGAGAACACATTAAGCAGGTCCTGCTTTGATTGCTGATTGGAATCGAGGCGGGACCCCAGCGCGGCCCAAATGCGGCTGCAGTGCTGCGGCGGCGCCTCCGGGTGTCGCTGTTGGCCGCCGCCGAGCGGCGCTGGAGCCGCAGCCGCCGCCGCCGCAGCGTCCTGCCCCCGCAGGCTGCTCGCTCGCCCGGCCAGTGGCGGCCAGAGCGGCAGCGGCACGGGCAGCAGAGGCGAGAGGCGGCCAGAGCGGGCAGCGGCGGCGTCCGAGGCGGCGGCGGCGGCCCCTGCGCTCGCTGCTTCGAGCGGCTGCGAGGGAGGCAGGGCAGCGGCAGGAGCCGTCCGAGCGCCGAGAGCCGGCGCTGCCGACAATGGCGGGCGGGCGGAGGCAGAGCGGCGGGCCGGCCGGCGGGCGAGCGCTGCTGCTGCCCGCTGTGCTGCTGTGCCTGTGCTGCCGGGCGGCGCCGGAGCGGCTCCGCTACGCCATCCCCGAGGAGCTGCCCACGGGCTCGCTCGTGGGGCCGCTGGCACGGGACCTGGGGCTCAGCCCGGACGAGCTGCCGGCGCGCAAGCTGCGGCTCAGCGAGGAGAAGCAATACTTCACCGTGAGCGAGGAGAACGGGAACCTGTACGTGAGTGAGAGGCTGGACCGGGAGGAGCTGTGCGGCGAGTCGGCGTCCTGCTCCGTCAGCTTCGAGGCGCTGGTGCACAACCCGCTCAATGTTTTCCACATCGAGGTGGCCATTGAGGACGTGAATGACAACTCCCCGGCCTTCAGGAAAGCTGCTCTGGAACTCGAGATCGGTGAATGGACACTTCCGGGTGCTCGTTTTGCTCTGGAGATGGCCCGCGACGCGGACGTGGGCAGCAACTCTCTGCTGACTTACGAACTCAGCAGCAACCCGTCCTTCTCTCTGGCTATGAAGGAGAACCCGGATAGAAGTCAGCAACCTGAATTAGTGCTAGAGAGAGTGTTGGACCGAGAGAAGCAGAGTTCCTTTGAGCTGGTTCTTACTGCAGTGGATGGCGGGGATCCCGCGAGGTCCGGGACGGTTCAGGTTCGAGTCAACGTGACGGACGCCAACGACAACCCACCTGTGTTCAGCAAAACATTGTACGAGTCGCGAGTGGCGGAGAATCTGCCGGCGGGGTCGCTGGTGCTGCAGGTGCGGGCAACGGATGCGGACGCGGGGTCCAATGGGCGGGTCTCCTACTCCTTCGGCAACGTCCCGGACTCCGTCAGCACTTTATTTTCTGTCGACATCGAGAGTGGTGAGGTCAGGACTGCGGGTCCCCTCGATTTCGAGGAGAAGAGTAAGTACAGCTTCGGCCTGGAGGCGACGGACGGAGGTGGGCTCACCGGGCACTGTCAAGTGCAGATACACATCACGGACGAGAACGACAACGCACCCGAGATCACGATTCTGTCGCTGTCGAGCCCCGTGCCCGAGGACGCGCCGGCTGGCACCGTGGTGGCCCTGCTGAAAGTCCGTGACCGGGACTCCGGCGAGAACGGTGAGGTGTCGTGCGAGCTGTCGGGAGAGGCGCCGCTGTCGATCGTGGCGTCGTCGGGCGGCTCGTACAAGGTGGTGACGGCGAGCGCGCTGGACCGCGAGCAGGCGTCCGAGCAGCGCGTGACGGTGGTGGCCCGGGACCGGGGCAGGCCGGCGCTGTGGAGCACGGCGGAGCTGGTGCTGGAGGTGTCGGACGTGAACGACAACGCGCCGGTGTTCGAGGAGGCGGCGTACAGCGCCTACGTGCGGGAGAACAACGTGGCGGGCGCGCTGGTGCTGCGCGTGAGCGCGCGGGACGCGGACGCGGGCGCCAACGGGCGCGTGAGCTACTGGCTGGCGGGCGGCAGCGCGGGCGCGGCGGGCGCGGCGCCGCTCGTGTCGGTGGAGGCGCGGAGCGGCGCGGTGTACGCGCAGCGCTCCTTGGACTACGAGCAGTGCCGCGAGTTCGCGGTGGCCGTGCGGGCGCAGGACGGCGGGGCGCCGGCGCGCAGCTCCACGGCCACGGTGCGCGTCTTCGTGCTCGACCAAAACGACAACGCGCCGCGGGTGCTCTACCCGCCGCCGGCGGCGGGAGGGGCTTCTTCGGTGGCGGCGGCTTTCGAGGTGGTGCCGCGGTCGGCCGAGGCCGGCTACCTGGTGGGCAAGGTGGTGGCGGTGGACGCGGACGCGGGGCGCAACGCGTGGCTGTCGTACGAGCTGGTGCAGGCGTCGGAGCCGGCGCTGTTCCGCGTGGGGCTGCAGAGCGGCGAGGTGCGCACGGCGCGGGCCGTGTCGGAGCGGGACGCGGCCAAGCAGCGGCTGGTGGCCGTGGTGAAGGACCACGGGCAGCCGGCGCTGTCGGCCACGGCCACGCTGCACGTGGTGCTGGCCGACAGCTTGCAGGAGGCGCTGCCGGAGCTGAGCGAGCGGCCGGCGGGCGCCGACGCGCCGGCCGAGCTGCAGTTCTACCTGGTGCTGGCGCTGGCGCTGCTGTCGGCGCTCTTCGTGCTCAGCGTGGCGCTGGCCGTGCTGGCGCGGCTGCGCCGGGCCGGGCCGCCCGCCGTGCTGCGCTGCCTGGGCGCGCAGCGCTTCTCGCTGGCCGGCGCCGCCTTCCCGCCCGACTTCTGCGAGGGCACCTTGCCCTACTCCTACAACCTGTGCGTGGCCGCGCCGGCCCGCGCCGCCGCCGAGGCCGCTTGGCCGCCGCCGCCGCTGCCCATCCTGCCCGCCGAGGAGCTTCTGGCCGGGGAGCCCTGCGGGAAGCCGAGCCCGAGCAGCAGCGCCGTCGCGGGAGAGCCGCCCAAAGACCCCGACGCACCGCAGGTCTGTAAACCCCTTCACTCCTTGCTTTCTGAAGTTTTCCTAAGGGTGTACAGGTGGCAGTGGGCTCTTGGGATTCGTGGCTGTTCTGGTCCAGCTAGTTACAGTCGCTGTTTCCATAGGCGCGGTTAATAACTCTGCTCCATTTTAGGCAGTAACGTAGCGACAGCACCTCTTTGTTCATATGCTCAGGTTTTTCTGCAAATCTTGTGTTGTGTGAAATAGTAAGGGTTAATCTTCTTCTCTCTGAGCTTTTCCTAACGACGTGCTGGCGACCTTTCTCTCCTGGACTTTGTTTCTGTTGTTTTGTTCTTGATGCCGGTGATTGTTTCCATAGAAGCGGGTAGTAACTCTACCCCGTTTGAAGCAGCCGGCGTTGCGAAACGGCACTTTCTCCCTCCTGAGTTGTCACAGATGTCGGTTCAGCTTGTAGGTGGCTGTCGTTAAACTTACGCTGCATAAAAATGTAGAGGACTTGTTTGCTAACATGTTTTGCTTTCCTTCAATATCTTCTCAGAGCAGTAATGCGGCAATGACGTCTCTTTGTTCAGCTTTGTTCAGGTTTTTCTCCAAATAGTATGTGAAATAGTATGGATTACTAACGGTGAAGGTGCATATTTCGTTTTAGAAAGAGATTTTCTAATTCTACATGACGGAGTTGGGAATGTGATTGTCTCGGTGATTTTTCCTTCCTGATCTTTGTTTGCCGAATACATGCACTGCGATCTTTTTGTTGGTTAAAGATTTTTTTTTTATTTTAAATTGTTTCGTAGTTTTAAGGAAACATGACTAGACGAAGGACGAATATTCTTTCCTATTCTTTCCTGCCTTCCACCTTGTGCCCTCCCATCTTTTAGTGTAAGAGAGCAGCAGAAATGGCAGCAATGGAGAAATCATTATTATCATCTCCGATCAGTCTCTTTTTATCGGAATTTTATTTGTTCTCTTTCTGTTGTTATTTCTCATTAAGAATTTCATCATGTGTGGCAGTTCCCTCTTGTTTACCAGTCCTCAACGGAATTTTCTACAACGACACTGAATAAGCTTTAAGAAAGAAATTCGTGTAGGTTTTCTTTTTGTTGGTGTTGTTCGTTGGTTGATCTGTTTGGTTTTGCCTGTCTTATTAATATTTTAATTTTTTTCATCAATAAATTATACATTCCTTAGTTATAGTTTTCTAGCTAAGGCTGTACTTAAGAAAGGAGCACTAAGTTTTATAAGCATGGCCTGTTGTGTAAGGCTGTAATCAAAACTACGGAAGCAGTGATTGGAAGAGGGAAAAAAAGTAGGCTGATTCAGAGCAGCCTCGGATGTTCAGATGAAAAATAGGAAAATAAGGAAAGCCAGGGAAAGACGGAAAGCCAGTCTCTAGAATGGCTTTTGAGGAGGGATCTTCATCGCTGTTGTGAGCACTTTTTCTGGGTCTGGGAATCTACCTTGGCTGCAGGCGTTCGAGTATGACACCTACTGAAAAAAACTAAACCATGATCCATATAAAAAGCTCTGCAGTTACAGAGAAGATGCTGTGCTTTCCTACCACAGAGTGGTCAATACGTAATACTCTGCACGCCATATTAAGAGAACTTTGTATCTAGAGATTATCACAGTCACATGAGTATTTTCCCGTGCTGTAGAAAGAACATAACGCCAGGTCTCCGCTGTGCTGGACCCGACATTTCCGCGGCAAATGTGCCGTCTCTTTGAGCGTCCTCTTGGCAAGGCAGGGCGGGCATCTCTCGGCAGCGCTCGGTGCCTGCAGTGCCGGGAGGAGGCTGCGGGCGCCGCTGTTGACCGAGAGGAGAGAGAGGAAGGTCGGAGCCGCTGCAGCCCCGCCCGCTGCGGACCGGCTCGATCACCGGATCGCTGGATTCCTGGATCGGCGGCCGGGCAGTCTGTGATAGTCTCCTCGCTGCGGAACCGCTCTGCAGCGAGGCGGAGAGCCCGGCGGCAGCAGCCGGAAGCGGCTGACAGAGTTGTAGCGTGAGCCTGATCGGTGATCGGCGGCGGGGATCTGCCTGCGGTGTTGCGAGGCCGGCGGTGGCGGCGGCGATGTGCTCGGCGGGGAGGCGCTGGGGCCGGCGGCAGCGAGTCCTGCTCTGGGGCATCTTGCTGGCGGCCTGGGAGGCGGCGTGGGGGCAGCTGCGCTACTCGGTGCCCGAGGAGATGCCCAAGGGCTCGTTCGTGGGCGATGTGGCCAAGGACCTGGGGCTGCAGATATCGGAACTCCAAGACAGCGGCGTCCGTGTTGTCTCTGTCGGTAGGACACAGTATTTCGCTCTGCACGGGAAGACGGGACATTTAGTGATTGCCGAGAGGATCGACAGAGAGCAGCTGTGCGAGAGTGTGGAGCAATGCGTGCTGCGCTGTGAGCTGATAGTGGAGGGGGAAATGAAGGTTTATGAAATAGAAGTGGAAATCATGGACATTAACGACAACACCCCCAGCTTCAAAGAAATTGATCTCGAAGAGAGAATGAGCGAGACAACAGCCCCGGGGTCGCGGTTTCCCCTGGCCGAGGCTCATGACCCGGACTTGGGACGGAATTCCCTGCAGAGCTACGAGCTAAGCGGCGACGAGCACTTCTCTCTGGCCGTGCAGACGGGCCCCGGCGGGGATCAGCGTCCCGAGCTGGTGCTGGCGAAGGCGCTGGACCGGGAGCAGGCGGCGTTCCACGAGCTGGTGCTGAGGGCGAGCGACGGCGGCGATCCGGCCCGGACGGGCACGGCGCGGATCCGCGTGATGGTGCTGGACGCGAACGACAATGCGCCCGTGTTCAGCCAGGCGGAGTACACGGTGCGTGTGCCGGAGGACGTGCCCGTGGGCTCCGTCCTCGTCACTGTCACGGCCACCGACGCCGATGAGGGTATGAATGGGTACGTCAAATACTCGCTGAAGAAAATAACAGAAAAAGCAACAAAGATTTTCCATCTCGACTCTGAGATGGGAGCGATCACGTTAGTGCAGAGCCTTGATTATGAAGAAGGCGATTCATATGAACTGGAGGTGCAGGCACGGGACGGAGGAGAACTTTTCGACACGGTGAAAGTTACGATTGCCGTGACAGACATAAACGATAATGTGCCCGAGATTTCGGTGAGGTCGGCACTAAGTGAGATTTCTGAGGACGCCCCGACGGGGACGGTGGTTGCCCTGCTGCACGTGCACGACCGCGACTCCAAGGCCAATGGCGAGGTGCGCTGCTCCCTTGACGGGGATGTCCCGTTCCACCTGGAGAAGTCCTTCGAGGACTACTACCGCGTGGTGACAGCGAGAGAGCTGGACCGGGAGCAGCAGTCGGAGTACAACGTGACGGTGCGGGCGGCCGACGGCGGGTGGCCGGCGCTGCAGAGCAGCACGGTGCTGGCGCTGCGGGTGCTGGACGTGAACGACAACGCGCCGGTGTTCGCGCAGGAGCGCTACAGCGCGCGGCTGCGGGAGAACAACGCGGCGGGCGCGCTGGTGCTGGTGGTGCGGGCGACGGACGCCGACTGGGGTGGGAACGCGCGCGTGCGGTACCGGCTGGCGGAGGGGCGGGTGCGGGGCGCGCCGCTGTCGTCGTACGTGTCGGTGCAGGCGGAGACGGGCGCGCTGTACGCGCTGCGCTCGTTCGACTACGAGCAGGTGCGCGAGGTGGGGCTGTGGGTGCGGGCGGAGGACGGCGGCTCGCCGGCGCTGAGCAGCAACGTGTCGGTGCGGCTGCTGATCGTGGACGAGAACGACAACGCGCCGCAGGTGCTGTACCCGCCGGCGGCGGGGCCGGGCGCGGGCTTGGGGGCGGGGGCGGGCTCGGGCTGGGCGGGCGTGGAGCTGGCGCCGCGCTCGGGCGAGCCCGGCGCGCTGGTGGCCAAGGTGGTGGCGGTGGACGCGGACGCGGGGCAGAACGCGTGGCTGTCGTACGAGCTGGCCAAGGCCACGGAGCCGGGGCTGTTCCGCGTGGGGCTGCACAGCGGCGAGGTGCGCACGGCGCGCTCGCCGCTGGCCCGCGACGCGGCGCGCCACAGCCTGCTGGTGCTGGTCAAGGACCACGGCCGGCCGGCGCTGTCGGCCACGGCCACGCTCAGCCTGGTGCTGGCCGACAGCGTGGCCGAGCTGCTGGCCGAGCTGGGCAGCGCGGCGCACGCAGAGGCGGCGCCGGCCGAGCCGGCCGCCAGCCTGACGCGCTGGCTCGTGCTGGCCGTGGCCGCCGTCTCCTGCCTCTTCCTCGCCTTCCTGCTGCTGCTGCTGGCGCTGCGCCTGAGGCGCTGGCGCCGCTCGCAGCAGCAGCAGCAGCTGCTGGCCACGGCCGGCGCCGCCTTGCGCGGCGTGCCTGCCACGCACTTCGTGGGCATCGACGGCGTCCGCGCCTTCCTGCACTCCTACTCGCACGACGTGTCTCTCACGGCCGACTCGCGCAAGAGCCACCTGCGCTTCTCGGCCGCCAGCTGCTGCGACACCCTGCCGGCCCGCCCGCCGCCCGACGAGCCCGCGCCGCTGCTCGGCGACGAGGAACCTGCCGGTGCCTCCCCCGCCGACCCCGCTGCTCCCCCGGTGAGTTCCTCATGCCGGAGTGTGGCTGCGACGCTTCCTTCTGCTGCTCCCCTGTCCTTAGTCCCTCGCGGTTTGTGTTCTTTACAGCGAAATTCGCTAATAAGTAAGGAGAGGCACTGTTAATTGAGGCGCTGAGGGCTGGAACCTCTTGCTGTGGTGAGGGATCGGTGCTCAGCCTCAGAACTGGTCGGCCAGGTAGTAGAAGGCAAGCTGCTCTTGGCTCGAGGTTCTCTTTTCCGTGGCTTTGTGGTTTTAGAAATCATCATTTTGTTTCTCCTTTTGTCCCCTGACAAGTGCAAATCTCCACCGATGTGTTACATTAGTAACAAATTGAATTTACCTTGCTCGCAGGGTCAGGTGTCTTCCCGACCGCACATGTGCATAAGTAGGTTGAGATTCACTTGAAATCGAACTTAGTGGTCCCGTATGCAACATCACTCGACATCACTTTTATTCTTTTCAGCCTTTCTATGTCGCCACGATAATACAGAGGCCAACGAAATGTTTTGTTAACTCATCTGTGCCATTATCTTTGTGCTCTTTGTGGAGGAATAGGCCAGGTAATAACCACTTCCTTGACGATATCTGCTTGCTTGCTATGAAGAGGAAAGAAAATCGTGAATATTGAGACTGTGTGGGAAAATGTGTAGTGTAAAGGGATGCTGGAGGAAATGGCAGAGTTGTCTGAAGTCCGTGGTCAGATGGTGGTGCCTGTTGAAGAGAAATGGCAACAATGTGATATTAGTCTTCTCAAAGCCTTTTGTGTAGGCGAGGTAGTAATCAATTTGATTTTGGAGTATGGGAAGGTTCTTCCTGTGTATGTGCAGGTTTTTGTGATGAATTTCACTAACAGCTTAATTATGGACTTAGGACAAGTGCCACAATGTAACCTTTGGGATCCCCTTTCTGTCTCTTCATCCGTTTCTTAAGACGAGAATTAGGTACCTTCCATAAGTGCCATAATCCAGAAGAGTGTGTTGTGATTGCTTCTTTTCTGCAGGTGTTACCATTTTGCTCGCTGTTATGATCTGAAGGTAGGCCTTTGTATCAGATAATCCGTGGGATAACAGGTTACAAATCTGTTACCTTTGTCTGACTGAAAGGCACACGCCTTTCGTTTTTACGGCTGTAAGGAGAAAGACTTTCAGAGATGTGTTTCCTTGTCACTGGTAGAACTGCTCTTACATGTCACATGCCTGTGGTTTGAAGTCAAATATTATCCACGTTAAAGAGAAATTGTCACTGCAACTTTTCTGTGGGTCAGCTGTGGCTGCAAATGGTGGGGATGAGTGAAAATTATATGAGATGTGAAGGGTTTGATAAGGGTCTTGGGTCTGCTCTGTGTGAGGAGGTACTGGTAGAGACAAGGATTTAGTTTTGTTATGTACAGCCTTTATTTATGACCTTCTGAAAATGAGTCTGAAGATGTCTTATTTTTGACATCACACTGCTCAGGATCTGACTAAGTTGTGGGATCATCAGTCTGCTTTCCTGTTGCAAGGTATTTCCTGTGAATGGCACTTATGGAGCATTCAGGTAAACATCAGTTTGAATTTTGATACTCAGGTCTCTTCCAAATTACCCGTGTGCTGAAGTAGAATGATATTTGAGCTGATATTGTGATGACTGGTCGTTTTATCACAGCTGCACATCGCTTATGCACTTGAGAGTAGTTTACTTTTCTTAGTATCAGACATTTCTTATGGACATCTGAGCTATGAATGTTCTCAGATAAGGAGGAGCTGTGTGTGCTGTTTTTCTTTCAGGCACTTTGCAGTGTCTGACTGCAAAGGTTGGTTTCCTGTGGCATAACGTTTGGGCAGGGTGAAAAATTCTGTCTGTGCAGAGACAGGGCAGATGAAAAAGTTTGCTGTGGTTTTATTTTGAAAGTGCAAAAGATGTAAAGAGAGTGCAGTAGTTCAGGTTGTCCTAGTAATTATATGAGGTCCACAGTCGTGGTTCTGTTCATTTTCCCCTTTTTACTGTACAAAAAAGTACATTATTGACCTGTGGTTTTGGGCTTCAGTGCGAGCTCCTTTGTGACAGGAGTGTTGTGTGGACATTTTACCACCTTGATGCCCTTCTTGTGTACCTACTCCCGTTGAGCTAATCTGTAATGACAAGCTATCGACCCTTGCAGAGAAATGCAACTCCCCTTCCTGGTAACTGCATGGCCTGCTCACGATGGATGTTAATGATATTTGGCCTGGGCAACCAGGATTTGGTTAGACATTCTTGCCAATGATGAGGGTCAGGGAACAGCGTGCAAGTTGTGCAGGGCTGGAGACAAGAGTCCTGTGACCTGCGTGGCAAGGTCTGTGGAAGGACACAGGAGTTATGGTTTGCTCTTTGCCCAGCTGTGGTATCACGTGATGTGGTTTTCTTTTTCCCCAGTAAGTTTGGCCTAACAGATTTTACTCCAGCTGTATGGAGAGCCCTGGGAAGTTCCACCTGTATGTTTACAGGTTGTTGTGTTATTTTTAAGGAATGGTTTAATTAGCTACCTCTGGCAAGTGCCACAATAAAGGGAGTTTTGGGAGGAGCCAACTCTGTATTCATTCACTACTAAGTACCTTAACTACGTGCCTAAACTTAGTGCATCATCTGGAAGAGCATCTGTTGATTCCCTTCTTTTTTGCAGATGTAAAATTCTTACTTTTCTCCTTTAATAGAAGTGTTCTCTTACAGTGTTCCTGGAAGAAATTCTCTTGCTTGACACATATACAGGTGCAGAAGTCAAATATTGGTCACAATAATGGGAAGCTGTCTGAGGAACTTTTCTTTTAGTGGAGTCTCTCTGCTAATTGTGAAGATCTATGATAATTCTGTGACTTGTGGAGGGTTGGAGGAGAAACTTGGGGGTGCTGTGTGTGGGAAGTTAATGGTGGAGGCAAGGCATGTGTTTTGTGGATTCCCAGGGTTTCTTCATGGCCTTCTGAAAATTGTGTGAAGGTGTCTTTGTATTTTGATGTTCCATCATTTACACTCCAGCGACCAGGTTGTGGGTTCACGAGTTTTGTTTTCTGTTTCATGATGTTTGCTGTGAATGGCAGTTGTCGGGCACAGAGGGAAACTTTGCATTAAGAATAATAGACTCACATATCTTCCAAGGAATTACGGTGCTGGAGAAGGAGGATGCTGCCTCTGAGTGATACTTTGATGACTGGATCACTGAATGAGCTGCCTTTATAACATTTTACAACAGTTGAGTTGTGCATTGAGCAGAAAATTCTCTGTGCATTCCTCTGTGTTGTGATGCTTGGGATCTGAAAATCTGGGAGTGCAACTTTTCATTTAGCGGTGTCTGCCTTCTAAATTTTCTTTCCTATTGTGTGATGACAGAGGGAAGAAGTCTGTCTATCCAGAGACAGGTCCCATGTAGGAGTTCACTGTGGAATAATTTCAAATGGATAAAAGAAATTTGTCAAGCTCCATTTATCCTAGCTCCTAGATGTGGCCCTCAAGTGTGGTTCCAAGGATTTGGGGTTTTATGTTGTCCAAAGCACTGACTGTGGTTGGGGTCTATGCTTTGCGGTCTGCTCTACCCCTCCTGTGTACTTGTCTGAAAAGATTTTTCTTTGTTATGTATCTGCTACAACAGACACAGTATGAGGCATGGATTTATGCTTCATATGTTCTGATGGCTTCACAAATTGAGTGTTGTCTAAATACTCAATCCAAGTTGGGCGTGACTAAAGACTTCGATAGCAGAAAGAGAAGCCTGAGAGATGGGATTTGAAGCAGGAAAATAGGTGTGTGAAACCAGGCAAATAGGTGTTTCAATAATAAATAGGTGTTCAAAACCCCAGCTCAAATGCGGCTGCAGTGCTGCGGCGGCGCCTCCGGGTGTCGCTGTTGGCCGCCGCCGAGCGGCGCTGGAGCCGCAGCCGCCGCCGCCGCAGCGTCCTGCCCCCGCAGGCTGCTCGCTCGCCCGGCCAGTGGCGGCCAGAGCGGCAGCGGCACGGGCAGCAGAGGCGAGAGGCGGCCAGAGCGGGCAGCGGCGGCGTCCGAGGCGGCGGCGGCGGCCCCTGCGCTCGCTGCTTCGAGCGGCTGCGAGGGAGGCAGGGCAGCGGCAGGAGCCGTCCGAGCGCCGAGAGCCGGCGCTGCCGACAATGGCGGGCGGGCGGAGGCAGAGCGGCGGGCCGGCCGGCGGGCGAGCGCTGCTGCTGCCCGCTGTGCTGCTGTGCCTGTGCTGCCGGGCGGCGCCGGAGCGGCTCCGCTACGCCATCCCCGAGGAGCTGCCCACGGGCTCGCTCGTGGGGCCGCTGGCACGGGATCTGGGGCTCAGCCCGGACGAGCTGCCGGCGCGCAAGCTGCGGCTCAGCAAAAAGCAGCAATACTTCACCGTGAGCGAGGAGAACGGGAACCTGTACGTGAGTGAGAGGCTGGACCGGGAGGAGCTGTGCGGCGAGTCGGCGTCCTGCTCCGTCAGCTTCGAGGCGCTGGTGCACAACCCGCTCAACGTCTTCCACGTCCAGGTGACCATCCAGGACGTGAACGACAACTCCCCGACCTTCAGCAAGGCTGCTCTGGAACTCGAGATCGGTGAATGGACACTTCCAGGTGCCCGTTTTCCTCTGGAGATGGCACAAGATGCAGATGCGGGAAGCAACTCGCTGTTGACTTATGAGCTCACCAGCAACCCGTCCTTCTCTCTTGCCTTGAAGGAGAGGCCGGGTGGAAAGAAGCAGCCGGAATTAGTGCTGGAGAGAGCGTTGGATCGGGAGAAGCAGAGTTCCTTTGAGCTGGTACTGACGGCAGTGGATGGTGGGGACCCTGCGAGGTCCGGGACTGTCCAGATTCGTGTCAACGTGACGGACGCCAATGACAACCCGCCCGTGTTCAGCAAAACAGTGTACGAGGCAAGAGTGGCGGAGAATCTGCCGGCGGGGTCGCTGGTGCTGAAGGTGCGGGCCACGGATGCGGACGCGGGATCCAATGGGCGGGTCTCCTACTCCTTCGGCAACGTCCCGGCCGGGATCCGCGAGTTGTTCACGGTCGACAGCGAGAGTGGCGAGATCAGGACTGCGGGACCCCTCGATTTCGAGAAGAAGAGTAAATACAGCTTTGAACTGGAGGCGACGGACGGAGGCGGGCTTACTGATCACTGTGAAGTGAAGATAGACATCACGGACGAGAACGACAACGCGCCCGAGATCACGATTCTGTCGCTGTCGAGCCCCGTGCCCGAGGACGCGCCGGTCGGCACCGTGGTGGCCCTACTCAACGTCCACGATCCCGACTCCGGCGAGAACGGTGAGGTGTCGTGCGAGCTGTCGGGAGAGGCACCGCTGTCGATCGTGGCGTCGTCGGGCGGCTCGTACAAGGTGGTGACGGCGAGCGCGCTGGACCGCGAGCAGGCGTCCGAGCAGCGCGTGACGGTGGTGGCCCGGGACCGGGGCAGGCCGGCGCTATCGAGCACGGCGGAGCTGGTGCTGGAGGTGTCGGACGTGAACGACAACGCGCCGGTGTTCGAGGAGGCGGCGTACAGCGCCTACGTGCGGGAGAACAACGTGGCGGGCGCGCTGGTGCTGCGCGTGAGCGCGCGGGACGCGGACGCGGGCGCCAACGGGCGCGTGAGCTACTGGCTGGCGGGCGGCAGCGCGGGCGCGGCGGGCGCGGCGCCGCTCGTGTCGGTGGAGGCGCGGAGCGGCGCGGTGTACGCGCAGCGCTCCGTGGACTACGAGCAGTGCCGCGAGTTCGCGGTGGCCGTGCGGGCGCAGGACGGCGGGGCGCCGGCGCGCAGCTCCACGGCCACGGTGCGCGTCTTCGTGCTCGACCAAAACGACAACGCGCCGCGGGTGCTCTACCCGCCGCCGGCGGCGGGAGGGGCTTCTTCGGTGGCGGCGGCTTTCGAGGTGGTGCCGCGCTCGGCCGAGGCCGGCTACCTGGTGGGCAAGGTGGTGGCGGTGGACGCGGACGCGGGGCGCAACGCGTGGCTGTCGTACGAGCTGGTGCAGGCGTCGGAGCCGGCGCTGTTCCGCGTGGGGCTGCAGAGCGGCGAGGTGCGCACGGCGCGGGCCGTGTCGGAGCGGGACGCGGCCAAGCAGCGGCTGGTGGCCGTGGTGAAGGACCACGGGCAGCCGGCGCTGTCGGCCACGGCCACGCTGCACGTGGTGCTGGCCGACAGCTTGCAGGAGGCGCTGCCGGAGCTGAGCGAGCGGCCGGCGGGCGCCGACGCGCCGGCCGAGCTGCAGTTCTACCTGGTGCTGGCGCTGGCGCTGCTGTCGGCGCTCTTCGTGCTCAGCGTGGCGCTGGCCGTGCTGGCGCGGCTGCGCCGGGCCGGGCCGCCCGCCGTGCTGCGCTGCCTGGGCGCGCAGCGCTTCTCGCTGGCCGGCGCCGCCTTCCCGCCCGACTTCTGCGAGGGCACCTTGCCCTACTCCTACAACCTGTGCGTGGCCGCGCCGGCCCGCGCCGCCGCCGAGGCCGCTTGGCCGCCGCCGCCGCTGCCCATCCTGCCCGCCGAGGAGCTTCTGGCCGGGGAACCCTGCGACAAGCCGATCCCGAGCAGCAGCGCCGTCGCGGGAGAGCCACCCACTGTCCCCGATGCACCGCAGGTCTGTAAACCCACACACCCTTTCTCCCTGAATCTTTCGTAACTCGTTCTGGCGGCAAGGCGCTGTTGTGTTTGTTTTTCTTTTTCATCGTCGGGCTATTAGGGCTGGTCTGTGTTTTCAATGATCCCGTGAAATAATCAGAGAGGGCGGATCTTTAGCTTTTCAGAATGAGGTGTATATGACAGGCTTTCGTTGGAGATTTAGCCTTCCCGATAGTTTTTTTCTAAGCTGTGTAATTTGGACCTTGTAATATGTGGATAAAACCCCATCTGGCTACTGTTGTTTCAGTGTTGGACGTACAAAGGAAAGTTGCATGTGGCTGTGTGAGTATGAAAGTTACACCTCTGAGTGCATGCTCCCTCGTCTTTTGAGTGAAGGCTTCTCCAGAGACGCTTACACTGCTGAGTCAAATTTTCTGAGGATCTTAAAGAGCTCTGCACGGGAGCACTAATTCCTCAGGGTAAGCACTGTAAGGCCTTTACTGAATAAGATTTTACTCTAAGTCGTGGCTTTGAGAATGGAGAGTAATGCAGACTTATTCAGAGCTTTCTCGGATATGCAGGTTAAAAGTAGCAGGGACCTCTTACTATACTGCTGGATTCGTGACCTGTGCGACTGTTCATGAGTACTTTTCCATACTCCAAAACACTGTTTTGAACTGCTGAAAGTTTGAGGAAAAAGCCTTTCAAGCACGAGTGGTACAAAACCTTTGCAATTGGTGGCAGAGTTTCTGCTTCCGGACAGTAAAACAACTACTGCTACTCTACATGTGCTAGTCCACACGTGATATTAACAGAGGTTTATATGCATGTTATATCACGATGAAACATTTCCCCGTGCAGCAGAAACAACATCAATGATTAAAGCACAGGTCGGTTGGAACAAAAGCGAGATCTCCGTGGAGACTGTGTCCTCCCCGCGAGCTTCCCGTAGGCGAGGCAGAGCGGGCATCTCTCGGCAGCGCTCGGTGCCTGCAGTGCCGGGAGGAGGCTGCGGGCGCCGCTGTTGACCGAGAGGAGCGAGAGGAAGGTCGGAGCGCTGCAGCCCCGCCCGCTGCGGACCGGCTCGATCGCTGGATTGCTGGATTCCTGGCTCGGGAAGCGGTCGGTTTCCGATCGTCCGCGCGGTGCGGAGCCGAGATACAGCGAGACGAAAGGGCCGGCGACAGCAGCCGAGAGCGGCAAGTCGGAGCCGGAGTGTGAGCCGAATTGGCGGCCGGCGGCGGGGATCTGACTGCGGTGTTGCGGTGCCGGCGGTGCGGCGGCGGAGATGTGCTCGGCGGGGAGGCGCTGGGGCCGGCGGCAGCGAGTCCTGCTCTGGGGCGTCCTGCTGGCGGCCTGGGAGGCGGCGTGGGGGCAGCTGCGCTACTCGGTGCCCGAGGAGATGCCCAAGGGCTCGTTCGTGGGTGACGTGGCCAAAGACCTGGGGCTGCACCTGCCGGCGCTCCGAGACGGCGGTGTTCGCATTGTCTCTAAAGGTAGGACGCAGTATTTAGCTCTGCATGGGAAGACGGGACATTTAGTGACGGCCGAGAAGATCGACAGAGAGCAGCTGTGCCGGCTGGTGGAGAAATGCGTGCTGCGCTGTGAGCTGATAGTGGAGGAGGAAATGAAGGTTTACGAAATCGAAGTAGAAGTCACGGACATCAATGACAACGCCCCGAGCTTCCGCGAACCAGAAATAGAACTTAGAACTAGCGAGACGACGGCTCTGGGCTCTCGGTTTCCCCTGGCCGAGGCTCATGACCCGGACTCGGGACGGAATTCCCTGCAGAGCTACGAGCTGAGCGGCGACGAGCACTTCTCGCTGGCCGTGCAGACGGGCCCCAGCGGGGATCAGCGTCCCGAGCTGGTGCTGGCGAAAGCGCTGGACCGGGAGCAGGCGGCGATCCACGAGCTGGTGCTGAGGGCGAGCGACGGCGGCGATCCGGCCCGGACGGGCACGGCGCGGATCCGCGTGATGGTGCTGGACGCGAACGACAACGCGCCCGTGTTCAGCCAGGCGGAGTACACGGTGCGTGTGCCGGAGGACGTGCCCGTGGGCTCCATCCTCGTCACCGTCACGGCCACCGACGCCGACGAGGGGCATTACGGCTACGTGAAATATTCGTTGAAAAAACTGTCGGACATGGCATCGGATATTTTCCATCTGAACGCCGAGACTGGAGAGATCACGCTATTGCGAAGCCTGGACTTCGAGGAAGGCGATTACTACGAACTGGAAGTGCAGGTGCATGATGGTGGTGGCCTTTTCGACGCAGCCAAAGTGACGATCGCAGTTACAGATGTCAATGATAACGCGCCCGAGATTTCCGTGCGGTCGGCATTAAATGAGATCTCAGAGGACTCCCCGACGGGGACGGTGGTTGCCCTGCTGCATGTTCAGGACCAGGACTCGGGGGCCAACGGCGAGGTGCGCTGCTCCCTTGACGAGAATGTCCCGTTCCTGCTGGAGAGCTCGCAGGGCAGCTACTACCGCGTGGTGACAGCGAGAGAGCTGGATCGCGAGCAGCAGTCGGAGTACAACGTGACGGTGCGGGCGGCCGACGGCGGGTGGCCGGCGCTGCAGAGCAGCACGGTGCTGGCGCTGCGGGTGCTGGACGTGAACGACAACGCGCCGGTGTTCGCGCAGGAGCGCTACAGCGCGCGGCTGCGGGAGAACAACGCGGCGGGCGCGCTGGTGCTGGTGGTGCGGGCGACGGACGCCGACTGGGGTGGGAACGCGCGCGTGCGGTACCGGCTGGCGGAGGGGCGGGTGCGGGGCGCGCCGCTGTCGTCGTACGTGTCGGTGCAGGCGGAGACGGGCGCGCTGTACGCGCTGCGCTCGTTCGACTACGAGCAGGTGCGCGAGGTGGGGCTGTGGGTGCGGGCGGAGGACGGCGGCTCGCCGGCGCTGAGCAGCAACGTGTCGGTGCGGCTGCTGATCGTGGACGAGAACGACAACGCGCCGCAGGTGCTGTACCCGCCGGCGGCGGGGCCGGGCGCAGGCTTGGGGGCGGGGGCGGGCTCGGGCTGGGCGGGCGTGGAGCTGGCGCCGCGCTCGGGCGAGCCCGGCGCGCTGGTGGCCAAGGTGGTGGCGGTGGACGCGGACGCGGGGCAGAACGCGTGGCTGTCGTACGAGCTGGCCAAGGCCACGGAGCCGGGGCTGTTCCGCGTGGGGCTGCACAGCGGCGAGGTGCGCACGGCGCGCTCGCCGCTGGCCCGCGACGCGGCGCGCCACAGCCTGCTGGTGCTGGTCAAGGACCACGGCCGGCCGGCGCTGTCGGCCACGGCCACGCTCAGCCTGGTGCTGGCCGACAGCGTGGCCGAGCTGCTGGCCGAGCTGGGCAGCGCGGCGCACGCAGAGGCGGCGCCGGCCGAGCCGGCCGCCAGCCTGACGCGCTGGCTCGTGCTGGCCGTGGCCGCCGTCTCCTGCCTCTTCCTCGCCTTCCTGCTGCTGCTGCTGGCGCTGCGCCTGAGGCGCTGGCGCCGCTCGCAGCAGCAGCAGCAGCTGCTGGCCACGGCCGGCGCCGCCTTGCGCGGCGTGCCTGCCACGCACTTCGTGGGCATCGACGGCGTCCGCGCCTTCCTGCACTCCTACTCGCACGACGTGTCTCTCACGGCCGACTCGCGCAAGAGCCACCTGCGCTTCTCGACCGCCAGCTGCTGCGACACCCTGCCGGCCCGCCCGCCGCCCGACGAGCCCGCGCCGCTGCTCGGCGACGAGGAACCTGCCGGTGCCTGCCCCGCCGACCCCGCCGCTCCCCCGGTGAGTTCCTCATGCCGGACTGTGCCTGCGACACTTCCTTCCGCTGCTCCCCTGTCCTTAGTCCCTCGCGGTTTGTGTCCTGTTTGGTGGAAATTTTAACGAGGAAGGCAAAGCTTTGTTCAGTGACGCTCTCTGGGCTGATGGCTCTTGCTGTGGTGAAATTGACGTGGTGCCGGATCTCCGTCTTGTGGTTCGCGGGCGTTGCAGGACAAATGCGGTTTTTCTTGTTGGATCTTCAGTCTACCCTTTTTATTGTGTTTATCAGGTGTCAGGTTGTATCTCGTTTTGTCCCCGGCATTCTTCATTCCACTTTTCCTGTCAGTATTAGGTCTGCTGAAGTGTTATATTGCCTTTTAAGGAAATGCAGTTTTGCGTTGTTAGCAGTGTTAGATGTGTTGTCGGTAGCACATGTCCCTGAGTAGGTTTAGAAAGGGAACATTTCTGTCCTTGTATCTAAACTTTCATATCGGGATAATATTTTCATCTTTTTAACGCCATGTTATTGTATTTCATTGAAGTTTTTTGGGGGGGTTTTGAGTTTTGGGGAAAAATTTTTTGTTGGCTTGTTTTGTTTTGTTTTGTTTCTTTTGGTTTTTTTGGTTTTTCTCTCCATGCATCATTATCTGCTCGAGGGCATACTTCCACCTGATCTTATATTGTATATTATTTATTACCGTTGAAAATCGAGTATGAACTATGCAGTAGTCTGGGTTTTGAACAGCAACACTTTTCTCAAATCTGTCTTTGTTTTGCTTTATCACTCTCCCCGTATTACAAATCCTTTTCCTTTAATGGTATTTAGGAAGAATGTAAGCCATTGTTGGAAATGAATCTGGAGCCGCCTTTGCCTGCTTGGTGTTGAGTCTTTTACATTTTTCCTGTGTGAAAGTTGCTCATACAGCCTCTTCCTCAACCAGTAGTGACAGCAGCATCAGTTTTGTGTAGCAGAACGAACTGTGTGATTTCCACATTGGAAACCACTCCCTCCCTCAACCAGGAGACCATTCCCAGGCGTTCTTGCGAGATCAGTTGAGGGAATTTCTTTGGTTGGGTCCTAAGTGACCTCCACACTCAGGATTGAAAAGAGATGCTGGAAGAGGAGTGAAATTGCTTGTTGCTAAGTGTTTATTCCAAAATACGTGTGTAAGTACTCATTTGTCACCTTGATGGTGAGCCATTCCTGTGCTCTTCCAAAGGTGGAGTCCAAGAACTGGACCTTCCCAGACTGAATTCTGCTTGTTGACTCTAAGACT